AATGTTTTCGACTACCGTTACATCAGAAACGTATTATGAACGTGGTATACTAATGAACTCCTCATCAACACAAATTGTCGGAATGAAGGCGTGAGAAGAAATTTACAATTGTGTGACACCAAAGACTGGGACCATTTGCGCATTCAATGCAAAAACTACCGGACAAACTCGCAACAATTTATATGAATCCAGACTTCACAGTCCATTGAGCCAATCTCGAGAACCCCAACATAGAGCAGTAACACGAAAAAGCCTGATTCGAAGCATCTACGGTCGGATTTACCAGCACTGATAATTAAGATTAATAATTTTAAAACAACCCTTTGCAAGGTAACCTAGGGACCATTCCTTTGCAAGAGGACGAATTCCTCAAATAGAGATGGCAATGACCATTCAACAGTGAAACATAGAATTTCTATCAGGATTTGGTGCAAATCTCGAAACGAGAGTACAGCAATTACCACAGAATTTTGAAATTAGAGTATTCAAGTTTATTCCTACACACCTCTGTTAAAGAGCGGCAGATTCTACATCGTATTATAATAGGTATTACACAAGGTACTATAATAATACAACAAAGGATTAGGATGAACGAAGCACAGTTGGGTAGGCTGCATTCAACTGACAGCGAGAGAATGCGACAAATTCCGACAAAAATTAAAGACCCAAGCTACCAAGCGAATAACACAAACAACTACTAATTTCAGAGTGCATAAACACAGCACGAGTCGACCGACTGCACCTCGTGTGACAGTCCCGGTGGGCACCTCTTAAGTAGTAACCATGGCCTTCACAAGCGTGCGGGCATAGCGCAGGGAGACCCAAAAAACAGACTACTGATAACGTTTAAGAGAATCACACATTTCGATGCAATAAAAGACTTGTGGTTGGGAATATAGCCAGCCAACATGTAGGCACAATTTTCAGTAAGACGATTAGGCCCAGAAGAGGAAAAAAACGTGTTCGCTGACCTCATTACCTAATCTATAATTTCTTATTATTCGGTGATCCATTTTTGAAGACAGAAAAGCAGGACTGCGCCAATAACAGGCACTAAATTCACACAGAGCACTTTGATTAAAAGAACGAGTCTTTCTGAAAAGACCAGAGGTAGAAAGAATTTTGGTGGAAAGATTAATTGAGGAAAATTGATATGAAATAGATGATCTAAAAACGGTTGAAAATGGCACTGAACAACTATTCTAACGGAACTATTTACGACAAATTCAAGCCGAACTGGTAGGAAAGAGATATTGGGAGAGCCAAATAGTCATGAAGACACTTACATGTTGGTCGTTTCTACCTAAAAGGTGAAACAGATATACAAGTTGAGTGAAGGAATCATAATGGAGATTAGAGACGCGATGAAAATAGAATTGTTCAGAGCCCGAATAAGACCTCACAATGGAAGAAAACGCACGAAGGCATACATTTAGCTAAATCGTTGTTCACTGAAGACAAAACTATACTGCTTCGTCCAAGTCAGAAGTAAAAAAACGGATAGGGGATAGACAAAACTGCCTGGGAGGGAGTGGTAGGTCCCCATGGTCTCGGCGGCCGTAAAGATTACGGCTTCCTCATTCTGTGAACTTAGGCGGCACATAAACTCCTGATGACCGACACCTTATTTCGCCCTCCAATACGGGAGAAGGCAACATTAGTGCAGCTCCGATCACGAGGCTGAAAGTTGCTGGACTATTTTCTCGTTCGGAGGCGGGATCCACAGGACGTGCTGGTGACGAAGACGACCTGCGAGCTCGATGTCTGGACGGATCACCGAATTACATGACGAGTCTTTGACGGTAACCTCGCAGAAGACCAAAAGGTAAGTGACCAACAGGTTCTGCTTAAGTTGCCCGTTCACCACTTTGAGTCCAGCAATCAAATAGACCCGCGACTGGAAGAACTGCAGGCTCAAGACAATAAAGCCATAAATCGGCACCTCTCACGTATGTTAAAAGTGTGGTCCGCGGCTTCTTCTACATATGGCTCCTCTGCCGTCTGTGTGTTCTGGGCCTGATACTATCACGGGGGCAAAAAGCCGTGACTTCGAAGGCTGCTAACTGGCACAATGACTCCGAGCTCACAGTTAGTCTGGCGTAGGTTTGTGCAGATTGGCCGACTAATGTACGGAAAGTCAGGCTGCAATGGCTTCTTCTTATGGTGTTCTATGTGGTACTCCCACAAAGGGGGACATTAACCGGTGTGGTGGCACGCTTAGAGGCGGGTTCTCGCTGCGTCAGCCACCTGCACCCCCCGACCTCCAATCTTCTTGAGTTGGTCATGGTACCGAGACCTGAGGGGGAGGAGAGAATGCAGTAACTACAGCGCAAGTCTATTACCCCTATAAGCTAAATTACGTGTAAGTCCCCATCCCTGTGTCACCATGCTGTGGGTTACGTAGTGGACTTGGCCCTAATCGACGGTCCAACTGCAAGTTACCAAGTAGAAGTAACATTGTGATAGCTGCGTCAACGACCACGACCAGAAGCTACCGGTTGACCTATTGGTCTGCATGGCTTGTCACCCTTGCCCTTTCACCCCCCACTCGACTAATATAATAATCAGTCACATGAAAAACACTCAGCTAATCACCTGCTCAAGCTGGTGGGCACACGACAGCTCTGCATGAACATCAGTATACTATTCAGGGCCCTCGAGCGGACGTCTTTTCCTGGTCAAAAAGCAAAGAACTAACTCACGGCAACCTGTCATATGTACAGAATAAATCGGTCCTCACTGCCCTCTGAGCTCTTTCATACACTTTCACGCCCACAAATTTAGATTCCCTTTCACCGATTATTATCTTATC